TAAATCTAGCGCCATGGGAGGCTATAGATTTCGCCGAAGAAGGTATGCTAGACGATGATGGACCAGGAAACCCATGGGTAGGAGAAGTAGAGGTGGGAGAGCCTATGTAGCTGCTGGTAGGGGAGCTCTCTTCAGACAGATAATGCCCACGCATTTCGTCCACACTGATAGTCGCATTTGGAGCTCTCTGACAACAGGACAAAGAAAATTAATTAACAAAAGAAAAATAATTCAGTTGACAACAAACTGATCCTCTTGACTCACATCTTCCAAATTCTGCGCTCCGAAACCATGATTTGTCAGCGCAGCGATGGCTGACGGAGTCACTTGATAATATCCAGCCATTTTGTTAACCACAACAGGTGGTAGTGCTGAAGAGAGAGCGATTACCAAAAGTGTGCTGATGACAATGGTTTTGGTCATGTCAACAAACAGGAGAATAATCCATTTTTGAGATTAGTGAGTTGTACTCTCTACACAATACTAACGCTCTACAGATAAATAAATTTTAGGAAAGACGAAGAGAAAATAGAACAAAAAGATAAAACAAGTTTGCAGGACAAAATTTTGCAGATATTAGTCTTAAAAGGACCGAGTGTAACATGTAAAACTATGAATTCTAAACACTTACGCGGAGCTTTGGCGTGAATTGGTTCATAGTGAAAAGGATTGATGCAGATTAGATCAGCCTTCTTTGCAAAGGGATATCGACAATTGTCCACAGCTTTCAATTCATGGTGTGATCTAAAAAAATAGCGCTTACTTCAAAGTGCCTACGCTTACAGCTGTGAACATTACATAAACACGCTGCACATCGGAAAAACATGTTCTAAGAGTTCATAGTTAATGGCCTAGCGCAGAAAGAAGTAAACAATACCTAGAAATAGCATGCATTCAAGATAACACGTACAGATGGAGAAAGATAAATTAGGCAGCAAAAACTTTTAATATATGACTATGACAAGGCATAATATTTTATTTTATTAACTTTGCTCTCAAAGTACATAAACATTAGATTATGGTAGATTAAACAAACACGCAAAAAAAA